CAGACCAAGTCTTATGTGCTTTGTGTGTATATTTTAAATTCTTCCGCCCTAAGTTATAATACTGAATGTATTATTTCTTACACAAATTATAAAAATATTGTCACTCATGATTGCGTGTTCTAAGAATATGTTAAAGTCAATTATTAAGCGATATATAAGATGTTGAAATAAATCATTTTTATATTACTTGAATTTCCATTTTTAATTTAATCAGGTAATGTTTTAATTTTACCTTAATAGTATAAAAAAATCGTGATTTTAAATTCAGTAAGGTTTTTGAATTTAGTCAATTTTAGTGGGTTTTCGAATTTATTTAGAAGTATTCTTTTTGAACAGTTGGTATCACTGGTAATAGCTTTATTTATGTATAGGTATAATGATCGTCGAATGAATGAATGAATGAAATGAAGCAACTTTTAAATACGCCTGCACAATTTATATTTATAATAAGAATATATTGTTGAAATTTTTTTTTTTTTTAGAATTCAAGGTGGATACGGGACCGTAAAATATCTAGATATAAAAATACATAGTTTCGAAATCTGATATTTGAAATCGAAATCTGATTCAGATACGGTACACAGAAAAAGCGATACGACCCATCTCTAGTGACAATGTATACGCTTTTACAACAAAATCCCAGAAAACGTTCAAAATGAATCCGTTGCTAATTTCAAAAAACTTGTAAAGGAACGTTTGTGTGGTAATGGCTATTATAGTATTAGTGATTATTTGAATGATAACACACTCTGGAAATGAATTGATCGCTCCAGGCTCTTTCAAGTGGAATTTAATAAATTGTACACATATTTGCAATTTTTTTGTCAAGTTAAAAAAATAAAAAAAAATGTCCCGCTGAGTTTCTTATGCCGGTTCTTCTTAGTTTACTGGCTTTCCTTCCGAACCGGTGGTAGAGTTTTTTGACCATCAATAAGTAAGTGTATGCTTCTATATTGCATAAAGATATTTGACTTTCACTTCGAAATTAATAGTTCTTCAATAAATGTTAACTTTGTTAAAGCATCGGATTGTGGTCCAGGCTCGGAATTTTCGATAAAAAATATGTTCAACTCATTTTTGAAGTGAAACTTCTTTATCGGGGTTGGAAAAAAAATTAGTGTAACATTTTTCCGTTACGCGCCATCTTTTTTTTATCTTAAAATGTTCCTCTAACGCCATCTAGTGTTGAATAGGGGGTTTTATATCGTCTTTATTCTTTTGTGGTTTTAATAGTTGACGCTAGATGGCGTTAGTTCCTTTGTGTGTTCATAACAAATATATATATGTTATATTAAAGTGATCAGCAAAATCAAAGGGTTTATTTTAATTCTAATTCTAAAATGTAAACAATATATTTCGTATTTCAGTTACCATAAGCCATTAATAACACAAATATATAATAACGACATCAATGATAGTAATAATTATATTACAATTAATGAAATTCAATAATAATCTTTGTAGTAATGACAGTGCTAGCTCTAATACTTCAGAGCACGACACTGTGTCGACTTCCTCTTCTCCAAAGGCAGGCACCGCCCACCGTGACCTGACTGCGCCTTCCACCGAAGATACAATCTGAAGCTGACCGATGATGCTCTTCGAAACCTCGATCGGCTCCTGGAACTTTTTTTTTTTTTTTTTTTATGCGAAAAGTTGTCAAACGAGCAGACGGTTCACCTGATGTTAAGTGAATACCGCCGCCCATGGACATCTACTACACTCGAGGGTTACAGATGCGTTGACAACCTTTTGAAAATTGACACATTTTTTTATTTGGAATTTGTGACATTGAGTATAAAGTCCATTTTTATCAATATTTAAATCAAACCAACGACGATGACATCAATTGCACTGTTTGATTTCCAAATTTTTCTGGGCGATTTCAAAATTATTAGTATACAAAGTGATTCCTATTTGTGGTTGGAGATGCGTTGACAACCTTTTGAAAATTGGGCTCCGGCCACCTCACTCACCAGACGAAACGCGAAAGTATTATACTTCCACTTTACGCCGGTCTTCTGTGAGGTCGTGGTTGTGGGATAGTTCCCTGCATTGAGCTACGCAGGGAACAGTTCGGTTTCCGCAGTGGCCACTCCACCACGGCGCAGCTGGCCCGAGTGCTGCACTATCTTGCGGCCCAGTACAACCGGGGCCGCATCTGTCTGGGGGTCCTTCTCGACATGGAGAAGGCCTTCGACATAGTGTGGTACGAGAGCTTACTGCATAAGCTGTTGGAGAATACCACCACCCACCGCGCGCTCGTGCGGTTAGTAGCGTCGTTTCTCTGGGACCGGAAGTTCATCGTACACGTCGAGGGAGCCGACTCGGCGGTACGTTGTATCAAAGCCGGTGTACCACAAGGTAGTTGTCTGTCGCCACACCTGTATGCGGTGTACACGGACGACATTCCCACCTTGGAGCAAAACGCCTCCGACTGGGATGAAGACGTACTGTTGGCCCTGTACGCGGACGACAGTGCGTTCTTCACGTCTTCTCACGTCGCGGCGATTGCGGCGTGGAAAATGCAGCGCCAACTGGACCTGCTGCCCGAGTGGCTGGATGAATGGTGGATGTCTGTCAACGTTGACAAGACATCCGCCATATACATCCACCGCATTAAAAACCAACCCACGCTTGAGCTGCGAGGTCAAGCGATTACCAACACGAACACCATTAGGTACCTTGGATGCCGGATAGACCGCTCGCTGTGCATGGCTCCCCAGGTCGGACACGCCCAACATCTTGTTAAGATCCTCTCACCACTCAGAGGACATACAAAGGCGTACACTAAAGATTCATATCATTTTGTCAGTGAGATTAACCACCTACATCTTGCTGACAATGAAACTATGGTTAGCTTTGACATACAGTCTTTATTTATATGCTTACCTATAGAAGATTGTATTTCAATAGTTACTAGAAAGCTTAAGGAGAACAACATGCCTATAGAATATGCATTACTGCTCAAACATTGCCTCACATCTGGCTATCTATTGTGGAAGGAAGAATTCTACATACAGTTGGATGGTGTAGCAATGGGCTGCCCAGTATCTCCCATTGTCGCAGACATATTTATGGAAGACTTTGAGGAGAAGGCCCTTCAAACAGCACCCGTTCAACCTAGATTTTACAAGCGGTATGTAGATACTTTCACAATTTTACCATCAGACAAAGTAAATGCATTTCTAAACCACCTCAATTCCTTACACACTAAAATTACATTCACTATGGAATTAGAGACATGTAACTCCTTAGCCTTTCTAGATGTATTAGTCATCCGAAATCTTGACAACACCTTGAGCCATACTGTGTATAGAAAGGAGACCCATACAAATAAATATTCAAATGGTGATTCTCACCACCACCCTTCACAGTTAGCTACTGTTGGTAAATGTTTGTTACAGAGAGCACGGGTGATCTGTGACAAGGAACACCTGGCCGCTGAGCTACACAATGTCAAGCAAGTGCTGCGTGACAACAAGCTCCAAATCCCGCGCCTGCGTCACAGTGACCGAGTGAAACCGGCCACAGTCGAGCGAGTGCCTGCTGTATTGCCATATGTCAGAGGAGTCACTGACAAGATTGGCTATATCTTGAAGCGTGCTTCAATTAAAACATATTTCAAGCCACCGAAGAAGATAAGTCAATTTTTACCATCTGTCAAGTGTAATATCCCTCTATAAGATCCGATTGTGGGCTCTCTTACATAGGACAAACAAAACGATCAATTAAAACCAGAATTAAAGAACACATAGCTGACGTGAAGCATCGACGGTTGAAGAAGTCTGCAGTTTGTGATCATATTTTAGACCGCCCCAACCACTACATTAGATTTGATCAACCGAAAATCCTCGCAAAAGAACACCGATTCCTTCCAAGGATGATCCGCGAGGCTATTGAAATAAAGAAACATCCTAATTTCAATAGAGAAGATGGTTGGAGTTTATCATCTGCTTGGGATCCCATAATTTATAAAATTAAATCCAAGCACACCAACACTGCCAGACCTCAAGATACCATAAGCTCCTTCTGCGTGGATTGGAATAAAAATAAACAAAATAATTGACGGTAGCCGGGGTTAACTATGACATCAAGACGTCTAACAACTTAGTCTGTCCCGTGACCATGAACACTGGAAAGGGTTCGAAACGTCGGGAATTTAAATTAAAATTAAAAACGCGATAAAATCCGTAAAGTAGTTTCATTTAACGACGTAATAGCTCGAGACCTGAGGATAGAATCCATCGAGGAGTTTGTGGTCCGGATGGCCCGTCGCATGTACGTCAGGGCCGACAACGGGCCACACCCACATCTGCAAAACATCGCACCCCTCCACGCCCGTCCTCCTGACGGGCGCCCGATCCCACGATAGCTACTGCGGTCGGAGGCCACTGGGGAGCCGGACCCGACCGCACTTCCGCCGCTGAGAAGACGATGTCGTCCGCGTTTAACGCTGTACACCTGCCAGTGCCGCTACCGCGGTCAGAGTTAGGGCTGGCCGTTGGTCATCCTTACCACCGACCAGCCTTCGCTGGTCGAGATTATGTCCGAGGCATGGGGGTTGCCCCGATACTCGCTCAAAAGCAGGCCTCGCGCCAGCTTCGTACATCATCGCCCTAACCATCATCATTCTACTGCCCTGATCCCATCTAGGTGGGGCTGACATAACATGTAAATGGTGATTTAAGTAGTTTTGGCTAGGTTTCTTTCAACTCTCCGAGGGATCAATCACCCAGATCCGGAACAATTATCTGTGAGTCTTAAAAATAGTTGTCCCATGGGAGAACCGAAACCACGACCCTGGCGCCGAACGCCAAAAGTAGTAGGAGGCGATACAATAAGTTAAAATAAAGTTTGGAAAAGGATTCTGAAAAAGTATCACATGTATTCGATTAAACGTTAAATAATGTGCGGCGCGATGTTCTCTCGGTATTTATATTGATTGTTGGGTTCCGTTAGGTCCGCGTAGCGAAAGGAGAGGCGATGTGAATTGATCGATGCCCGCCGCGCGGGGCCACCGAAGCGAGCTCGTTGCCGCTGGGCTGGGAGTTATTCTGCGCGCGTGCGCTATATGCGTAGCGCGCGGCGCCGTACGTCAATGTGTCACAGCGACGGTACTGCCCACTCAGGGCTGCGTACCATCAATACAAAAATCACCTGCGAAACTATTCATAAAACTATTCCATGTGACGACCTTCGTTTCGCTTTACAAAATAACGGTGTTAAAAGGCAAATTTTCTGCATTCTATATAGGCTTATTTTAATCTTTGATTTTTAATAAGACCGGCTCTGCGATATTGTCTTTAAACTAATATGTTATGCTGAAACATCTATTGTGCACGCCGAGGTTATATGGAATGCATAATTCCATAGGCTTAGATTCTCGTGATGTCACTTAAGCACGTAATAAGACCACAACGCTTTGGATGAGAAAGAGCAAGTAGGTGCTCTGGCTCCGTGAGAGGCATCCTTGGAGCGGCATTGGCGGCCGCCACTGACAGCCAGCGCACTGTATTTCAGATTGCAACTAAATTTAAGCGGCGCGCGCCTCGATTTATGGCCCGACACGTGTTTAGAAGTGCGCGTTAATTATGTTACGCTTTGTGTTACTCGCGGCCGCCCGTCGCACGGTAACGATCGCTCTATTATCAACGACACACTCAATTATTGCACCTCTTTATCATATTTGTAGCATCGCTTGCCCAACATATGGCTAATTCTCCTTCTACGTCCGTGCTATTTCATCCGGTGGTTTGTAAATTAGCCATAGACGCTAAAAGTACTGGAGAATCAGACACTCGTAATCCAATCAAAAATTCTCGTAATCCAAAAAGCCGTACAACACTAATAAATGTTGTACGATATCCTTTTCCAGGAAAAAACCGACTACGTCCTTTTTTTTTTTCTTATGCGAAAAGTTGCCAAACGAGCAGACGGTTCACCTGATGTTAAGTGAATACCACCGCCCACAGACATCTGTTACACCCGAGGGTTCCAGATACGTTGACAACCTTTTTAAATTTGGGCTCCGGCCACCTCACTCACCAGACGAAACGCGAAAGTAATATACTTCCAATTTATGCCGGTCTTCTGTGAGGTCGTGGTACTTACCCGAACGAGCCTGCCCATTCGTGCAACAGCCGAGACTGCTGCGTGGCCCTACCACCGTGAAATACTTATACGTTAATTACTCGTTGTTTAATCACACTTTAAGAAGAGTATCTGAGGTGAGAGATCTAGGGGTTCAAATTGATAGTGATCTTTCCTTTCTGTCCCACTTCGAAAATGTCACAAAACATGCATATAAGATGCTAGGGTTTGTTCTCGGACAGAGTGTACACTTTACAAAGCCAGCTACTTTATTTGTACTATATAATTACATATGAGGTCTCAGTTGGAGTACGCATCACCACATTATTCCTCACACATAAATCTAATAGAAAAGATCTACTTTTGTCAGGAGGATGAAATACAAATTTGGTCCTGCGTTTACTTACAAATTAATTTCCCTTGAAATTCGAAGAGAGCTAAGAGATCAAATGTTTCTTTTAAAATTAATTAAAAACTTTATTGAACCTCCCTATCTATCTATACTACTTTCAAATTTCATTTAAGTGTCCCAAAGTCAACTCTCGTTCGAATGATCTGTTTTATATACCGTTGTGTAACACGAACTACACGAAAAACCGTTTTACTGTAATAGTTTGTCGTAAGTATAATAAAAACTTCTATCGTATTGACATTTTTCGAGATAGTATAGAAAAATGTTTTGCTGCAATCAAGATGGAAATAAATATAGGTATAATCTTTAAATGTTATTTTTCCACATATTTAGGTTTTAGTTTATGTATTTGTATCTTTTTTTTTTCCAATCTTTAACAATTTTCTTTTATAAATCCAAATACAGTTAAAAAAATTAGATATTATAATGGAAACTTTATTGGCCCACCTATCTGTGTGTAGTTGAACTATTTATTTTATGTAAGTACCGTTTGTTTTCCTAATCAATAAAGTAAAAAAAAATAAAAAAAAATATCTTAATATATATAAATTACGTGTTACGTTGTTTGTCCGCGATGGACTCCTAAACTACTTATCCGATTTTAATGAAATTTGCACACCGTATGCATCCAACTTAAAAGATAGACTAGCTAATATCTCAATTTATAGTCGCAATATTATTATATTTTATTACAAATCATTTGTTTATTAAATGACTAAGTTATAAGAATCTGTGAGTTCCATAAGACTAACAGATGGCGGTGTGAGGTAAATTTATCAACTACATTGAGTAAGTATTTAATAGATGGTGCTATGTCAAACGTCAAAACGTATGGACCCGGTAGCTTTGCCGCAGACGAAGTTGCGCGGAGTATCTTATAAATTCTGAATCTGACTTAACAAATCAAAGCCTACTACGTGACACATTTTGTACGCCTGTTCTCTGAATTCACAGAAGGGATGACTTTGGCGGCTCATAAGTGAACCATCACTTATGAGCCGCAAAAGTCATCCCTTCTGACCTACCAAGGTCTCGGCATGAAACATCGGCAAAAGACGTAATCATTCTTTCTGTGTGTTCTTTCTCGAACCGTCCGACCTTTCGTGCTGCCCATTATCAATGGCTTAGAGTTTTATAACTGTGCAAAATGGCTAGCGGACACGCTTTATTATTGATTGTCTAAATATGGGTCGTGTGTGTGTGCACTATTTGTAAGTGGCACTGAGTGAGCGGGAACTGGGCGCGGGGCGGTGGCGATTGATTAACGAGGCGGGAGACAAGCGCGCGGTTAATTAAAGTATCAGCGGCCGGAAGCGCTCTCGTCCGCGCAATCAACCATTGTACTAAGCTCAAAGTCCACGCCTTTTGCACCACTATTATTAGATTATATAACTTCGATTCACAACTTTGCTGAATGGCTTGCCGCATATATTTAACTGTCATAATTTGTTTAAATGTCTAACATCCCTTCCAACACTTTATTCTGTGGGTTTTGGATTTAAATAAAAAAGTTTTAACGTGATAGGTTTTGCAAAGAATACAATCGTTGACGATTGCCTTACATAAATCGTTATTAGATAATATATAAAAAATAAACCGGACTATGGTTGGTATGTGGAGGAAGTCAGAGTATAGTAATAAGAACTCAAAATAATTATGTTGATAATACATATTATGATGTCATAGTCTTCGAAGGCCTCAAAAAGTCTAATAAATTTATTACATGTCTACGACAATTAAAAAGATTTACTACCACATGTGAATGACCCTTGAGTTCAATCTCAACCCAAGGGAGGCCACGCAGCCGTCTTCACTGTTGCAGGAATGAGCATATCCTTACGGTTATCAACCAAAATCTCATAGAAGACCGGTGTGAAGTGGAAGTGCACTTTATAAAACGGAGGCAACGCATTTGTAACACTATTTTGCTGCAATTTGCAAATGTCCGAGGGCGGCGTTTATCACTTAACATCAGGTGAAAAACCTGCTCCTTTGCTATCTTCCAACATAAAAAAGTAATAATCAGAATATAATGAAAAAAATTAAACTCATTTATTTCTCAGTCGAATAATAGGCAGTGATAATTTTAAAAATATATTTGTAAAAAAATATTTGTAAATATTCATTGCGACCATTTATTAATTTACGATACACACCATGTGAATACCACCATTGTCATCACACACACATACTGATATTTGTGTTCAGTACAACTTCAAATAATTACTTGGTCCCCATCCATTCGGCGCGGCGACTGACATTAATATACATCAAGGGATGCAGCATCCTTTTATTGTCCCGTTATTGCTTTTATTGACCATTGAAAACAAAGTACTTGCACGTCGAGATAAGCCCATTAAAATATATTGAACAGACGTGCAGGGGTACGCCCGCTCCCCATATCGTCGCTCCAGAATTAATAAAAGGAATTGCACAAATTAAATCGGGCTGGCAGTAATTTATTATATTTATTTTTTACTAACGCAACTGACATGGTTATTAAATTTTAATAATTTTCTTATAAGAAATTATTCATAGCATATATTTTATCTGTGTGTCGAAATAGCTACTATTTAGTCAGGCCCACGCAGCAGTGTTTCCTGTTGCACAAATGGCGAATCTCGTCAGGGGGCGTCATCTAGTATTACACTTGTGCAACAAACTCACACAAATTCCACGTGAAGTGGAAACATCATATATTTCCGACTCGTATATTTCAGATTTTCGAGATTCGAGATTGAGGTAACTTACACTTTTGATCCCAATGTATTTTTAATTTATTTATTGGATTACCAACACAAAATTAGGATTTACACTCATAGAAAAACTTGTGTCACTGTTCTTACAATAAAAGGTAATCACATCATACTATAGGATAACTTCAGAAGTATAGGTTTTAAACATTGAATTAAGTAGTCCTTAAGTTCTTCTTATAATTTTATTACAATATTTCGCTAATTACATGTCTTTTCTTTCCGACGACCGTGCCAAGAGAGCATCTGTTCCTTGTACCGCTGTTAAGGCAGTACCCGGAACGCATCATTCACACGTCTTAATGCTTATTGTGTTATGAGTACTGTTTTTAAAATACATAATAAATTAGTTTAATATTTCTTACAATATTTGTGACAATTAATTACAGCTTTAGTTAAGTCTTTATGAAAAATAAATTAAATATCGGATCTCAATTTACATTTCAGTGTTGCCATATTTCCAAGATATAATGTTGCTATTTTAAAAAAGTTTTATCGAACATAAATTTATAATTAATCGAAAATATTATAATAGTATACAAAATAAAACTAATTTTCTAGTCAATATAAAATATAAACGCATAAATAGGCTAACAATACATTGATAATGAAGATAACACAAAGTACAATAGACAATAAAAAACTATAAACTAGAAAATAAGTATGACTAACGTATATTGTTACAAGCAAAATAGTTACTGATATATGTAACGAATTTTCTTAGTTTTACAAACTTGAAATGGTAAAACATTATCAAAATGTAAAACGTTGTGCAAATCCTTAGAGTGGTCCCACGCGCATGTATAAATTTATATAAAATATTGGATCTTTAAAGTAATAAGATTTTATTAAGGATAGTGAGAATTGTAATTGTGTGATGTAGAGAGACATTTTATTATGAAATCTATTTTAAAGGACATTTCCTTTGGTGGGTGAATTCTTTTACATTTAGAGTAACAGAAAGTACTGTAAGATTAACTTATAGTTTATACCGACATATAATTTATAATTTAATAAGTAACCCACATTATCCAGTTAAGTATGGACACACACACACACACACACACCCGCTCACGCGTGCCCATTCGTGCAACATATTTTTTATTAATATTACCGTTCTGTCAATGTTGTCAAGTCGAGAAGGATTTTCACTCAATTTTTTAATAACTTTATCGATTTTCGAACATTCTGTTATTAAATGCCCTCTTTTTATTAACACTCAACGACTTCATTTGAATGGTTCATAGTAAGTTAATCGTATTATATAAGTACGTTTCTTTGAGCTTACTACTTACACCTAAAGTCATAAGAATAAGATCATGGTCATTGTTTCCTTGCTATGTCTTTTGTTAACGAGTAAAAATTCAATATGATTCCTAAAAAATTATACATAAAACAAAATGAAACAATTAAAAGCTACATAAAGGGAGCAATAAAATCACACATAAAAATGTTATCATACATGGTGTAAAACGACTTAAAAAGGACAGTTTACGATGCGCTGAATACCAATGTTTATTAATAATAATTTCGCAATAAAAATACCGGTGACGATGTAGTGGGTGCGCTGCTCTCCGCCACAACGTGTCGAGTTATGTTAAAGCGGGCACTTAAAATTTAATGCCCGATAATTATTATTATGACAAGTAATAACTTCACACTCTACTTAATATTCATACCCACACTATTTAAAACAATTTACGGGAACTAGGAAAAACTTTGTACCAGCGCAAATTAATAAGTTGGAAAACGGTTTGTATACTGCGTTAAGTTTATGATTTTTTGTGACATCTCAAAGCCTTTGAGGACGTCGTAGAAGCGTTTTTGTCTTCAACCGACTTCAAAAAAGGAGTAGGTCCATTCGACTATATTTTTTTTATGTTTATCACCTCAGAACTCTTGACTGAGTGAAACGATTTTGATGATTCGTTTCGTTTTTTATTTGAAAGCTGGTGTTTCCCATGAAGTGTGATATTAATTTAATTACTATAGAATCTTGGACTCTGGAGATACTTAGGGAACTCCTTAAATCACTACATAGTAAAAAACCTAGTCGTCCCGCTGTCTCTCTGTCCCTATGTATGCTTAGATCTTTAAAACTACGCAACGGATCTTAATGCGGTTTTCTTTACTTGATAGACTGATTCTAGAGGAATTTTTATACAGCGAGTCCTTACAATCGCGACAATAAATGTACACACATATAGAGGATAACTTTTTAAAATTGTATTAAACATTTACATTCTTTATACATCAATATTTACAGAGTTATTAAATTTTCCAAAACAAAGAATTTTAGAACATCCTTACGTATAAAACTGTAAGGTAAACTTCATTTGTAAAGGTCACAAAGCATATGAATGGGTTGAATGAATTTAAAAGGGACAAAACATACTGTTAAAAGGAGAGGCTTGTAATGCGACGCTGTGGCAACGAATGAAAAAGTCTCTGAATGTATGAATCAGTCAGTTGTAGTTGTATAGGTGTTACAAATTTTGTTTCTTTTTTACTTAATTAGTTTGTTTGAAAAATATTTTTTGTAATAATGGATTTTTTTAACGTTAATATTTTTTTATGATTATTGACAAGTAGCGTTAGACGTGTGTTCATTTATTCTCGCGATGGTAACGACACGCTGTATGTATAATACATTGCACCTGTGGGAAGCCTGGGCGGGTCGCTAGTCAATTATAAAATGAATACAGTGAATGAAAAGAAGTCAGTTTTGTTTTTCGTTAGTTAAAAAATGGATTTTATTGTTAAAGTTCATAATAAATAAGCCATTTCAATTGAAATACTAAACATATAAGTAATATTATTCTGAAAAACAAAAGGAAGGTGCTATCTAGATATGAAGAAAAATATTCATAGTAAGTTATCAATATGGACATAGCAATATCACTTGCAATCTAGCGGGAATTTGTAATAAATCCGCAACGGATAATGGAAAAAGTTTCTTCGCAATTTATATGAAAATTCAAAAGTTTTTTAATAAAGTTTATTTACGTTTAACTAAAGTACGTAGGTGTCATTTTGTTCGATACCTTTCTGCCATCTTGTAGGTAGGGACATGATCCCATTCCTATAGAAATAACTAACCTAACCTGACACTGCCTAAAGAATTCTAAAGAAGACCGAAACAAGTAGAAATTTGAAGGTGGAAGGTCAGGACTATACGACGGATACATTAACACCTCCCAGTCAAACTCTCTGAATTTTTGCTGAGTGGCTAAGGATATGTGAGGTCTAGCGTTATCATGATGAAACTCACACCCCTTCTGTTGATTAATTTCGGCCGCTTTCTCTCAACTTCTTGCTTTAATCTCATCAGATGTTCGAAATAGAGTTCAGAATCAATGGTCCTACCTGGCGGTAACATCTCATAATGAATAATGCCCTTCCAATCCCACCATACACACAGCATTACCTTGTTGCAAGATAACCCGGGTTTTGCCAGAGTCTGTGAAGCCTGGCCAGCCTGTGACCACGACCTTTTCGCACGTTCTTGTTGTACGTGATCCACTTTTCATCACCAGTTATCAGGTTTTTCAAAAATGGTTCGGTTTCATTACGTCATAATAAAGAATCACAAATGAGTACACGGTTCATTAGGTTTCTTTCAGTGATCTCATGAGGCACCCAAATATCGAGCTTTTTTGTGTACCCAGCTTTTTTCAAATGCGCCAAAACTGTTTTGTGGTCAGTTCCCAGTTCTTCAGCTACATTGTAACTACTGATATGCCGATCTTGCTCCACTTTTTCAAAAATGGTATCCAATTTATCCGTAACAGGGCGCCCAGAGCGAGGTGAATCTTTAGCATCAAAATTTCCGGATTGAAAACGCTTAAACCAAATTTGTGCTACTCTCGCAGACACTGCTCTAGGTCCATAAAAATCACTTTTTTTTTTTTCGCGGCTTGCGTTGCATTTTTACCTTTTTTTGTACTAAAATTTTCAAATGTATCGAATTTCTTCGTTAGAATCACAATCATCTTAACAGCAAGAAAACAAATGAAAATCACACATTTTCCTAATTTGAATTTGAAATTGTCTTTTTTAAAATTTAAACATCATCACAAAACCATCTAAATACAAATGGTATACTCAAAGAGATTATATTATAAGTACATACATACTATTTGCGAAAAGAGTTTTTCCCCAACCTAATACTAAAACAATAGCATTCTCAGATTTGTAAGAATGTGAGAAAATACAGATAGAGTTCTCTTCGTTAAGTCTTAAAGACATATACATATCTAAATGTTTTCTTTTAATGAACAAGACATAACATCTACTCGTAAATAATACAATTCATGTAGACGTTGTGGTGGTCTGAATACAATTGTTTTATTACAAAAAGTTTCTTTGTAACGAGCACGATATCAATATGGATGCATTGTGTAGATGATAAAAAATAAAATAGCCGTCATCGAGTATAGGTATCAAGACATTGTTAATGAATAGTCATCCGGCCGAGTCGGGGCATTTAGTGCGCTCGTCGGCGAATCGGCATTCGTGCCTAATGAGCTCTACTCTTTGAACGCGCGGGCGAGGTGGCGGCGGTGGCGGGGCCCGTGGATCATAAAGTCAGCCGCTGTTCCATTATGCATGTGCGGCCGCCTGGTTATCATCTATGAACGGATCAATTTCACAGTCACCGATCACAGGCGCCGCCCTCCCCTCCGCCGGATCGCAGACTAAACGCTACTCCCACTACCAAGTGTATCGTCCGCTATCCAGTGCACACTCTGTTATATTCGGTTACTCTACGAAACGATGACACGCAGGTACTGCCCCGGCATATCCATCTCCCCATAGCAGGGTGAGCGTTGGGTGGTGTGGGGTGGGGAAAGGGAGGACGCGGGGGCCCAGCATGGGCGCGGCTTTACTCAATTTGCGCAGTTAGCGCAGCCTCAATTTTTCACAGTTATCGAACAATTTGCCGCGGGATGACGCTAAATAAGAGATCGTTCAGTTCGCTCATTTTCCTCAATACGCTGCATTTTTATGAATCATTTTACGTACATTCTGTTACGCTATGTCCGCTCTCTGCCTATTTCTTATTTTGACAAGCATTTATCAAACCTCGGTTGAAACCTTTTTTTACACCTAGTTAACAAAATCATTCAATTAACGGAGTCTGCGCCTGCATGACAAGTGTATGTTCCATGTGCTTTAAGAGGTATTTTCTAAAAACATTAAATTATTTTTCACTCGTATAAATTATAGTAACCAATAGAAGTATAATTTTTTTATCAACAAGAAAACAGAAATCTACTCACTCCCTATATTTATATTCTATTCGATTTTGAAAAGTTCCCTGGTGTATCTCCGGTTTTCAAGTCCCAATACCTGATACCAATGAAATGAACATGGGACCACATCACCACACGAGAGCTACATCGAACAATGTGCAATAATGATTAATTTTTAAACTCGGGTCATAGGACGGTGACGGAGTTCTGGGGCAACAAACAAAAAGAAGGCAACGGTTGAAACAAAATAACTTGTATCAATATTTGTAAGCGTGTTACGAGTACACCCCCAGTCACCATCGTAGGTGACCTGCATCCTACAGCATATGCATCAATTGCGCAATGACCGGTGCTTCCTCCAATGTAATCGACCACCGGCAAAGCGCGACGCCTTTCGTCATCCTAACTTCGGAATGATTGGATACCCCTTAGTTTCTTAAGTAATTAGTAATTAGTAGTAGTAGTAATTAGTAGTGCTCGGTTTTTTTTTGGTAAATCGTGTATTATGGAATTAAAAAAATAAAAAATAAAGAAAATGATCTGATATAGTATAGAAAAAAAAGCAAAAAAATAAGTGTGTAAATGATCGTGATACGAACCGCGGCCGAGTGTTTTGGGGCCGCCCGATTACCGACCCAGCTATTATAACATTTTTTTGTATTCGAATGAAATTTTTCATTCACTGAAAACAGGGATAAAAGGACATTTTCTAAAATGAAACCTAGCTAGATCGATTTTTCGCCATACGAAATCTATGCACATACTAAATTTCATGAAAATCGCTGGAGCCGTTTCCGAGATTCCGATTGTAAAGAAAAATATTGTGACGCCGGATTATAACATAAAAAGAATTAAGCTGTCATATGACACAACATGAAAATAATTTTATTACAAAAATACTTAATGTCAAACAGTGATTTAGGAATCGACATTGTGATTAATAACATTAAATGTCGTTTTATAAGATATTTTATAAAACGACATTTTCTGTAAAAAAAATGGAGAAGTTGAAATTTACGTTTAAAGCAAAGCCAGCAGTAGACGCAAATTCATATTATATTGCCATAACCTCAGTTGCCAGACAAGATGACAAAGTTTTCCTGATTCCTGAGGAGTATCAAGCAGTATCACTTCACAAGCATATCCAAACTTCTAAAGCTTTCGTTACAGTAAAAAATACGTTAAAAAAAAGGCATCAAACTAGAAGTGTATGGATAAAAATGACACATACTTTGATGAAGATGATAACATGATTTTTCAGGATCAATTCCTTGAGGAAATAACTCTAGGACAAACGGATATTGTCAATATAAATGATTCGGAAAATCCTATAGTAAAAATTTTGGGAAAATTAATTGAGGGCCAGCAATGCAAAGAAAAACAATCTATAAAAAAGTTAGACAGGTTTGTGATTGAAAAGTTTGATGGAAAGCAGGTAAGTGTATATCACTGGATGGAAATATTTGAAAAAGAATGTGCAAGGTTTGATATAGTAAAAGATGAAGAAAAAATTGAAATCTTCAGGCTGTTTCTAGAAAAATCATGCACTGATTGGTATTCCTCCATGATGATCAAGCTTAGTTCACACAATAATCATACAATCAGAGTGGTTGGAATGGAAATCAAACTTTTTGCAAACATACGCTAATAAAGGTTGGACTACTAGCAAGTACGCTTTATTTTTCAAGTACCAATCGGGATCTTTATTAGAATATGCTATAAAAAAAGAAAAACTTATGCTTGAAGTAAGAAAAACAATTGATGAAGGCACCCTTATTGATGTAATTGCTGCGGGCTTACCAGATTTTATAACGGATAGGATCAACAAGGAAGATTTTGTACAAACAAAAGACTTATTCAATCAACTCGGCAAACTAGAACATTTGATTACAAAGAGGAAATTTATTAAAAAAACTAACAAAAGTAACTTGATGAAAGAAAAATGTAACATTTGTGAAAAACTAAATAAAGGTGTACGATATCATTCAGAAGACATATGTTGGTTTAAAAAATATATAAATAATGAAAAAGAAAAAGATAAGAAACAAATAAAGCTCATAAACAATTCAGAATTGGAATGTGAACTGCAATATGAAGACCAAAAAAACTAATAATGCCGCCATTAATTAAAGTAAAATTAGCATTGAATAAAAAAGTTGAAATATATGGAATCTATGATTCAGGCTCTAATGTGTCATTGACAAATTCAAGATTGCTAAAAATAAGCAATAAGGAATTAAGTTTTTCTAACAATACTAATTTAAAAACAATTAATGGCGTTAAAAAGGCTAGAGGCGTAGTAACACTTAATGTAACAATTTTTAATGTTGAGAAAAATATGGATGTCCTTGTAATAGGCAAGGAAAATTTCGATTACGATTTTTTAATTGGACTAGATTGTATAAAAAAGTTTTACTTAATCCAAAATGAAAACTTAGAAATACATCAGAAAGTTCCTATACAAAGATGTGAAATAGTTTCTAAGGAAACAAATAAAACAGATATTGATATTTCTAAGGAAATAAAATCTGATAATTTAATAAATTTCAACGAAAACTTCAGTGTAGAGAACTTCAAAATTTGTATAAATCATCTAGACTATCAAAAACAAGCAGGAATTGATGACTTGATATTGAACAATAAATCTGTTTTTGCAAAGGACAAATATGACATCGGAACGGTAACGGATTATGAAGCACATATTGATCTGATAGTAGAAAAATATTGCAGTAAAAGGCCATATCGTTGCACCATTGAAGATAAAAAGGAGATAGAAAATCAGATTGCGAAATTGTTGGAAAAAAATATAATAGAAGAATCATATAGTCCGTTTGCAGCCCCAGTTACATTAGCTTATAAAAGAGAAGAAAATAAAAAATCAAGACTGTGCATAGATTTTCGTGACTTAAATAAAATTGTTGTTCCGCAGTCACAGCCGTTTCCACTTATTGAAGACCTAATAGTAAAAACAAGAGATTGCAAATTTTTCTCAACATTGGACCTGAATTCAGCATTTTGGTCAATACCTCTGCGTGTCACAGACAGATACAAAACTGCATTCGTCACACAGGAAGGTCACTTTCAATGGACTTGTTTACCATTCGGCCTAAAAACCTCGCCAGCAATACTCCAGAGAATAATGTGTAATGTTATACGAAAACATAAACTCGGACAATTCACCGTAAGTTATATCGACGACATCTTGTTGTTCTCAAAAACTTTCTCAGAACATATCGGGCATTTAAAACAGTTATTTCAAGCAATTAAAAGTGAAGGTTTTAGACTGAAATTTTCTAAATGCACATTTGCAGCAGACTCAGTTAAATACCTGGGCCACATAATACAGAATAATTCAGTTAAACCTCTAAAAGACAACTTGATATCAATAAAAAAACTTCCCTACTCCAAAATCGCAAAAAAATGTGAGACAATTTTTAGGAAAAATAAACTTTTATCACAAGTATGTGCCAAACATAGCAATAAAATTAGAACCATTGCATAACCTTTTGAGAAAAGGACAAATCTTTAACTGGACTAAGGAATGCCAAGAGTCATTTGATGAGATGAAAGAAATATTATGTTCTCAACCAATATTAACCATTTCTGATCCTAATTTGCCAATTCACATATACACAGATGCCAGTATACTGGGAGTAGGAGCAGTCTTAAAACAGCCACAAGAGAACAAAGAAGAGAAACCAGTAGCATATTTTTCAAAAAAATTGAACGAAGTTCAAAAGAGGAAAAAAGCTATATATCTGGAATGCTTAGCAATCAAAGAATGTGTAAAGTATTGGCAACATATGTTGATAGGTAGGAAATTCACTGTCTTCTCCGATCACAAGCCTTTGGAAAATATGAATATAAAGTCAAGAACGGATGAAGAATTAGGAGATCTGACATACTACCTATCACAATATGATTTCCAAATTAAATACTCTCCAGGAAGATATAACATTGAAGCTGATTGTCTAAGCAGGAACCCAGTCTTAGAACCAAATGAAAATCTGGATGAACAATTAACAGTGGTTAACATTATTAAACTAGAAGATATCCTAAAAGATCAAGTTAACAATGAAAATATACAGTGCAAAAAAGATAAATTATTGAAAAAAAATAATGTTTTTTATAAGAAAGTTAAGAAAAGGGAAAAAATTATTCTATCAGAGAAATTTAGTATAGAATTAATCAAAAGTGTACATACAGACCTAGGTCATTTAGGAATTAAACAAATGCAAAGAATGATTAGCTCATTGTATACAGCAGAAAACATGACAAAAAACATAAAAAGTATCTGCGAAAGTTGTATAGTATGTATAAAGAATAAGTCCAGAGGACAAAATAAATATGGATTGATGTCCCAATTGGGTCCCGCTACAAAACCTTTTGAGATATGTTCCATTGATACCATTGGAGGCTTTGGGGGTTCAAGGTTGACAAAGAGATACTTGCACCTGCTATCAGATCATTTCACTAGGTACGCATACATTTTAACAACAAGTACTCAAAATGCAAATGATTTCATCGAACTAGTGAAAAACTGTGCAGAAAGTGACGATCAGTTTCTGCATCGGCATGATTCTCTCAGACCATGAATATCCAGGTATAAATTCTAAGGAATTCAAAAGATTTTTAAGCAAAAAGAATATTCCAATAATTTTTACTGTAGTGAATTCGCCCTTCTCAAATGGTTTAAACGAAAGACTAAATCAAACGTTGGTCAATAAAATAAGATGTAAGATAAACGAAAAAGACACTAAAATTGCATGGGCAACTATAGCACAAATGTGTGTAAAATATTATAATGAAACGGAGCACGTGACAGTGTTTATGCTCCAAAGTATCTTTTAAATGGCACAGATGTTGCAATTCTCCCAAATGAACTAAAACATAAGAAGACCGAGCATGACCTGATCCAAGACAGGAAAAAGGCTCTGGTAAATACAATTAAATCACATAATTACAACAAGAAAATTTACGATAAAAATCGAAGACATATAGAATTCAAAGTTGGTGATGCTGTTTTTGTGGACAATGGAAAAAAATTGAATAGGAAAAAGCTTAATGTACTGAGAATCGGACCCTACAAAATTATAGAAAAAATATCAACATCAATTTATAAGATAAACACTGACTGTAAGAAATTAGAATCAAGCTATTTACATATCTCGAAACTAACTCCACCGCCTATGCTTAAGAGACCATAAAGAGGATGTATGTGTAGTCGTTATGTTTTATCTTCTCTGGGAGGGGGAGATGTAAAGAAAAATATTGTTTTCTTTTATTTAAATAATTTCTTTGTTTTAAATATTTTCATGCATCGGCCGCTAATAAGATTTATTTTAAAAAAACTATGGCTGACGCCGGATTATAACATAAAAAGAATTAAGCTGTCATATGACACAATTCATGAAAATAATTTTATTACAAAAATACTTAATGTAAAATAGTGATTTAGGAATCGACATTGTGATTAATAACATTAAATGTCGTTTCTTTACTTACAGGTAAAGTTTTGATAGTAAAATCTTTTATTTTTGTTATTTTAATTATTTATGTAATAGTTTCAACGTCTTACAATAAATCTTTACTTACAGAGAAACTCAATTGTGTTTTGATTGCTGTGTCATCCAAATCACTTTAAAATATTATCTTATATATATATATATAAATATATATATATATATATATATATATATATATATATATATATATATATATATATATATATATATATATATATATAAGATAAGATTAAACTTAGTTAAGGAACTTTTGTAATCCTTCATTAAATATCCATCTGTCACCAGAATGTATCTAATGAACCGTGATAGTTAGACAGTTGAAATTATCAGTTATGATATATTTCTGTTGCAAACAGAACTATATCATGGTTGAAAATACAACAAATACTGAAAAAACAACAAATACTAAAAAACATAATTAAAAAGCATAATTAAGTCTTTAAGTTTTTATAGATACCGGTACGGAACCCTTTGAATCCGACTCGTACTTGCCCGGTTTTTTTTCTATTGCTGTACAATTCCTACATAAAATGACATATCTGAACAAAGTTGTATCTGGTTAAAATAGTCAAAATATGATTTACTACTTTCAAACGTCTATATTCCCACAGATATTAAATTCAATACGCAGATGATAATTATAACGCTAGCATTTAGGACTCCACACTCAGATGCCGGTACCGGTCCATAGTATCGAGTTGGGGTCGCGCCCTACAATACACCCCAGGTGAAGCGTTTGCGCCATTGACAACATATTGCCGATTGTTATTATTTCCTACTTCACGTACGTAAGCAAGACTTCTGGTGGCGTTATTGTATGCAAATGTCAGTACACCGCGCCATGCCGTTCGACTGTTACGGCAGTTGCTGGCGGCCTTAAAGTTTTTTCTGGAATAAGCCGTCGTATATAAACAGAAACTGTGGCTACATATATACGAGTACATGCAAGCATCGCAGGAACGCCGCGAAAACGACACTGGCTTGCTTATTCAAAAGTACCGGCTTTTAATGGAGCCCAGTCCTGGAGTATTAAGCGACAGTTTGCTATCAATGTCCAATGGGTATAAACTTTAGCGGTCGCATAATTCATGCGAGCCACGCGCCGCGCAAAAAGCCCCGGAAGCGGCGCCATTGCGGGCGGCATGGGGTCTCACGTCGCCGCCGACACCGCGACATCTCGACAGCTTCCGCGAGCGGCGACAGGTCCGCCCGTGCCCGAAGGGATGCATGGGGACCTTCCGCTTTTTGTGCGAGCCGCATGCGTTATGCACGATGCCCTCGGGGTTTGTGTGTCACCATTGCATTGTGCCCCCACATTGCTATTGGCCCACGCAGCAGCTCCTGCTGTTTAACGACTTCACGCCGGTAGCTGATATGAAACATCCTCGCAAAAGCCTAGCGTTTCCCTATCAGGATAATTTGCAAGCCTGTAAAAATAACGCTCCCATAAGATTTCAACTAATTATTCTTAAATAGGTACTGCATTCGACACCACCTTTATTTCTGCACTGTTAACACGCGTACTACGGCTATGAAAATACTGCTCGGGGCCGCGCAAATGAGTCCGAAGAATGATACAATCCCGAGGATGTTTTTTTTCTCGGGAGGCATGTTGTTTACGAGCGCTAATGGGGCGGGGCGGGCGCACGGGACAAAGACATGCCGCATGCCCCAACATTTAATTGTGTGTTTTGGGCCGCGCGCGCCGCTCGGCCTCGGCAGCCGCGGGACCGCCATCTGATATCCGCGGGCAGATGCCCCATTGTGTGCTAATGCCGCCGCGCCCGCCTCAACGCCTCAACGCCTCAACGCCTCAACGGCTCAGCGACTCAGCGACTCAGCGGCTCCGCGACTCAGCTGCTCAGCGACACCACTACGCGCCTTCTCTGCCTGCGGAGCGTTCCGTGGACGCAGACCCAACGGCGCGTCGCTCGCCCAAACCTAAGGCTGCACTTGCCACGCCGTGAAGAATATAGCGATGAGTGAACATTCTACAGAATTAACATGGCATAATCAAAAAACAGCTGTTTAACAAGCCCAGTTTGTAATTATAATAATAATTCGTTAATATGTATCAATATGGGATGCTATTGGGATCCGTTTCAGGTGAGTCCATTTCCAAAAACAAATGTTGGAATAAAATACGCATTTGCAATTTAATTACTTGCAATTTATGCGCGTAACGACAACCGTATATAATCGCATACAGAGGGCTAAACAATAACAATGAACGACATACGTCGGAATATGTTAATTTATTGTTTCACGGTAAAAACGTCATTGAATGCAATTTAAAAATGCTACTGTTATTTTTTTATTATTTTATTGTAGATGTGAACGATTATAAAAAAAGATCAACTTAATTCCGGACGTCCTCAAGTTCGTGATGGACATCATCAAACATAGTTAATATACAACTGTAACGAACCGTGCTTAGTATTAAATAAGCAAAATAATGCTTAAAAAAATTAGAACTTAATATGCCCCGTTTGAACGATTTCTTAACGTTCGTGTATACAGTCTGTGTTAAAAATAATAAAGATTAATACGTATGGCCAACGGAAGCGCCAAACGACCGACTATGGAGAATTGTTAAAATGTAATTAAAATAACTTTTTCGACCGCATTGCATTGTTTTCGAAGTGTCCGGACGCGTTACCCGGAAAAAATCAGGTTCGAATCCCGCAGGGTCAAAAGTTTTTGACATAATGTTTTATACCAATGTGCAATTTTTTAATACCAAATCAGGGTCCGACGTTTAAGTTTTAGAAAAGACTGGCTTTTTCGGCTCAATCCTGGCGCCTATCTACATACTTACGTTAAAAGAAAGGAAATAGGTACTTTTTTAAAAATTTATTATAAATGTTTACTTTATTATAGCTGAAAGTAAACATTTATTTTATTAATAAATGTTTACTTTTAGCTCAAGCCTTACTCGACATAACAGTTTTGATTTCGAGTGACAGTGCCTATAAGTTCTAGGAAAATAAACAAAAAACACATATTGTTAATATTTTAAAAGTATGTCAGGAGGGAAATAAATGTCACGAACGGCCGTAATTATCAGTCGTTGTGAGCACGTATTAAGGGTCGTTCTAGCACATGGACATTGTCGCAATGAATACATTTTATGCTCGCTTCCTGCAGCGCTGCAGCGCTCATAAAAATAGTGCCGCCGGCCATATGCAATGCGTTCTCTTCGAAGTATCATAATTCACCTCTCACTCCCTGAAGATATTTAAAGCTGTATCGGTCAACAGTTTGTCGATGGTACGTAGCTGCACTATCACTGCGGCTGTCTTGGATCTAGCTTTTATTTTTGTACTAGACACTTGAAGCGGCTCACCCAAGGAGAGACCGCGGCCTCTTAGTAGATAAGTAGACCAACGTAAAATACAAGTAATAAAACTTTTGTGTTTCGTGTGATATATGTAAGCTATTCTCTTACAGGTTGGGAGCACTCTCGTTGGCAGCACCTCTACGATCATCATCCATTTCCTTAGGCAGCGGAAGTCACTTCCAATCAAATAAATCAACAACGGTTTTTACACAAAAAAGGAGGAAAAAAATCTCCTGGCATTTCTCGAGATGCACATTTAACTTGAAAAAAACTCAAATTTTTAAAAGGAAAATTCAAAAGAGCGAGCGACTTTGTCTTGAAGGATAGTATTATAACTAATATAATGGTTAATGATGAGTCGGTAGTGCAGTTGCTAAGCCTTTCTTCGCCGTTGTTTGTCTTTGTTGGGCCCGGCAATTGCAGACAGAACGACCCACGAACAATTGTTCCGGATCTGGGTCTCGAAAAAGATTTAAATGAAGCAGACAACGTAGCAGCAATAATACAATTAACATAGTTCATATGCTCTTATCCCAACTAGACGAAATAAAGGCACAAAAGAAAGAGTTTAGTTCTTCTTTTAAATGATACAAGGATATTGTAATTCATTATATATATTATATAATTTATTACTAACACAATTTTGGAGATTCTCTGATAAGTTAATCATTTTTGAAAACGGTTCGTTTCCCAATAAGTACTTACAGCCTACAGGCTCATTAATTATGTCTTCATTAATTTAAACAATAACCATGCCATAATGATAGACTAAGGAATGTTTACAATTGCAACTATTTCGATTAAAATTCAAACAAAAGCAATAAATTACAGCTACCGTGGAATAAAACACAAAAATTCTAAGCATGACCATTAGTGAAATTAGCCGTAATTAAATTTGTTTTCTGTTCTAGTATTCAAGATTAATTATTAAAGCGTTCACGGTGTTGAAAACATTAATGATTAGTGGAATACCAGGAAGGAGCATGTAGTGCTCAGTACGTCGCTCTCCGCGGTTTCTTCCTCCTAATTGTGCGTCTGCGGCGTTAGCAAGGATATTTTATATATGTTCAGGTGCCTAATTAAGATTACTCAAGGTGAGATTAGAGAGAAAATTAACATTTAATGAATTATATTTCAGCATCGTTCTGAATCCACGACTACATGTGTCTATGGGTGTAACGTGAGCTTTGACAGGGAGGACAGGGGGAGGGGGGGGGGCGATAATCTCCAGCCCGAAACTTCCTTAATGAAGCGCGAGATTAAGTTCTACGAAGTTGAGCCTCTTCCGACTTGAGCTCGTATGTTAATTACGTAGCAGTATGAGCCGCGAAACTCGCCCCGCGTTCTACGAGCCACGTCTCAGCAACTTTGTTTGTTCGGTGTGTAATTTACGGGCCACAATCGAGTGCCTCTCCATAAATATCGCGACTCCTTTGTGCCGTCTCGCGTAATTAGATAGGAAAGCACTCCGGCGGAGAGGCAGTTAATGCGGCTCGTTCTGGAGGTGTAGCGGAGGCGAGGGCCCACCGCGCGCCTCACCTTAATGGAAATTTTAAATGAAGCGAAGAGGGGCGCGGAGTGGCCTCCTGCGCTCCGCTTCACTCTTCTTAATTACATCCACCCTTCTCACCCGTTATCGGATCCAGGCGATGAATTAAGTATACACTTTTTCTTGCCACCGTTACGTAGTGCCTGTCCTCGCTTTGGGCTCTGTGGACCACGCATTCAGGAAACAATTCATGACATAAAACAAATCAACCTTGAACATGTAATATCTATAGAGGAAAAGAGAGTCAAAATTAATACCAAGCGTCGGTATTAAACATTGAATAAACCACACTGTGTACTGATCTAAGGATCGATCTACCAATCTATTTTAGTACAATCTATTTTACGACAATATAAGATTACAACTGTGTTCCGCCTTAGGCACTATGCTCTATGTACAAACCATAGTGCGTTATAATTTGATCGTAGCGGCCTCCAGTGACAATAATACACACTCGATACATAAACATTGACTTAAGACTGAATTGTAAACAAACCGCCCACCATGCCTTAGCGTGACTCGTGAACAGGTTCAAGGAGACATAAAAAAAAAATTCATGCGTGGAAACTTCAACGTCTACAGTTAGGAAAACCTAAAATTCATAATAAGATACCAATATTTTTATATTTGTGAGGATATGTGAGGAACAATAATGCACGTACATCGGGGAACTTTGAATATTGCAAACACTTGCAGAATAAAGTCGGTCGTATGTAGGTACCATATATGTAGAATACGAGTTCCTCGTTGTTCTGGTTTCCCCCAAACCGAGACACAATAGAAACAACCGCTGAGGAGATAAAGTTGTAGCGACGTCTCCGAGCGGGAACAATGAGTTCCGCGGAACATTCGCCGCCCGCTCTGCCGCTCCGCCAATTAGCGCGCCATTGTCTCTCTCCCGCCACTAGAGTGCCCTTCGAGCGAGGATGGGATACGCGCTTCTCTCAAGTTATGCTTACACCTTGGGCGACACGTAATTAAATTAACAATACGTGACAATGGGCTCATATCAAATCTCCAAATAGGTAGGTACTTTAAACATTTGCGACATTTAATCATTTGGTACAATTGATGTACACTTTGCATATCACAAAACTACGGAGATTTTAATAAACAGCAAAAATATAAACTAGTTAGGCGGATTATAACACATTTAATTCAGACTTAAATTTCCAATACGTCATTTGGAGGGCGGCAAATTCACATTTTACAGACGAATGGACAACTCATAATTTACTTAACTTTTCCCTAAGAACTCGATCGATCTTGTGATTGTTTGGTGGACTAGCGCCGGTGTCGTTCACTACAGCAACTGCAAACCACGAAGGAAGAAATAGCTGCTAAGCAAGATAACAACGGTGCATACTTTGATTAATTAAATATATTTTACAAAAAAGTGACTTTATATACCTCCCGTACACAACGCCAATTTCATAGGTAAGGACCTAATATTTGCATTGCCCTGCGGATTTACTCTACGCTCCCCACTACAGCTGAAGGCTGTGAGCGAAGTTTTAGCAAACTAAAACTAATTAAAAATTATTTTCGATCTTCTATGAGCCAGGTACGCTTATCGAGTCTTGTAATCTTAGCGATAGAAAATCGAATTGCACACGAGCTAAATTATGACAAGGTCATAGATTTATTTGCTGAATAAAAAGCTTGAAGAGTAAAGTTGTAATTTCAATTCACAAATGCAATAATATATTTGATTTTCATTTTTATTATGCATATTTTTATTTAAAATCCTATCTTGTGCTGTGTAAAAATATAATTATATCCTACACGTTTATGTCTATATATCTGTAAATAAGTTGGCTTAATACACACGGAAAAAGGAAAACAGGAACGCTTATAGTTTAAAATAAATAAATAGTAACTTAACGGGGGCTTCGAACGCCAAAGTGGAAAAATTGCATTGTCACATAGTATATTTTATTTCTGTAAAACTAACAGTTTTAAAATGTAAGATTTAGAGTTTAAACTGTCAGATTTATAGAATTTGTCAATTTTATTTGAAACTGTAATTTTTGCACTTTCGCGTTTGCCACGTTACTATTTCAAACTATAGGTTAAGTTCCTGTTTTCTTTTATCCGTGCAAAAGAAAAACGGCAAATATCCGGAAGGCTTATGTAGGCTTTCTTCAAATGTCAATCAATTAGTGGACATCTGATAGCTGAAATTATATATATGATAAAGGTAAAAATAAATATAAATGGGCGTGGGCGGCATTTCTCAGTATTCGCCCCACTGACATATTGAGGCTGACATATTGATATTTGTTCACTTCAATCCGTTAAACATCGATATGTGTTCTCTATTTATCGATTACTTACTACTACATACCTATGTATGTGAAGAGCAAGTAGATGTTTGTGGTTTCAAAAATGACATTGGTCTTTGACCTGCTGTCGTAACAGAAGTAATGATCAAATATTGGAAGAAGAAAGGTTTCATAAAACTAAAAAAAAGTGATGAAGTTCCTTTGTAGAATTCATTTCTTCAAGAGCAGTCACGATATAATACAAACGTTCGGAAATGTTTAAAGAATATGTTTACACGTCGCAATCAAAATCAACAGACTGTCAATCGATTTTGAATATGTTTTTCTCCAGCTACGTTGAAAATATGGGGGTCAGAGATGAGTTTACCAAATTTTGTCTAAAAATTATCTAAGAAAACAAGCGGACACTCCTATGTTTTAAAAATCTTACGCCCGGTTTCTGAAACACCGATCATCGTAGATGTCAACTAATCAGCTGTCAAATGACTTTAATTTTCATTTTAGTTGCCAAAAGGATGATTATACTCTCTAAATTGACCAGAATGATCTTCTTAATTATCAGAATGATCAATTACTATATTCTTTGTTAAAATAATCTTATTTGTTTACTCTCTATTGTAATATCCTTTATTATTGTTGACTACCAATTTACATACGACATGGTACAATATATAAGAGCTTTTAACGTTGATATAACAACTGTGTAACACATAATTATTTTCCGTATAAATCGTTTACCTAATTTTATTGATACCGAAAATAATTAGGTAGGAGCCTCCACCCATTTGATGCCTCGGGGCCTCAAGACCTCCAAATCCGCCCTGATGTTATCAATAATGATACTTAATGTGATGAATTCAATGCATGGCACCCAAATGAGATGACCTATAAAATTACTTAATGCAACTACTGTAGAGTACCTATTGTGTAGAAAAGGTTTAATTGAAACAGTCTATTTATTTCATAAAGGCACAATTTAGTCTCGATAAAAAGATAAACACGTACAAAACTAAAGATAGAGAGTCTAAGTTAAGAAATTCGTATCACATTATAGTAGTTGATATTAACTACACTGCTTATAAAAGAGCGTCAATAAACTAATTACATTTAGTTCGCCAAAGTCCAATTCATCGACGCATCTTGGTGATACTGGCGCCGCGGCGGGTGAGGCGAGACTCGGAGTCCAGACCCGCGAGGAGGGGGCGGGGCGTGCCGGAACGCCCCTGCCCGCCGCCGCCGGAGCCCCCCCGGACAAGCCCCCTTGCTTGGCTCTCATATACCGAGGGGCAGACGACGCTACCTACATTGCCACATCACATACGTCTTTTCTAACATTCAATTACATCATAGTGGTCTTCACTTAATGGTAATGGGTTGTCGCCATACACTTGTGTGTAGAATATTCTATACTAGCGACTCGCCCCTGCTTCGCACGAGTGCAATGTATTATACATATAAACCTTCCTCTCGAATCACTCTATCTAGTAAAAAACCGCATCAAGATCTGTTGCGTAGTTTTAAAGATCTAAGCATACATAGGAACAGACAGACAGCGGGATTACTTTGTTTTATACTATGTAGTGATGAAAATAAGCTTAAGTAATCCCTTGTCGTCCTATAGAAACATTTGTCTAAAATTAAGTAAAAACGTTTCATGATTTATTTTTTATGTGTAATGTCATGTAATGTTTTTTTGCCAGCCAACTTCAAATACAGTAAAACAAAAAAAAAGATTAAGTGCATAAAATTGTTTACCTACCATTTTCTTTTCTGCAGAAAAGTCATGCAGCTTTTGCTGTTTCCGCCAATAAAACAATATTAGTTATATATACCGCGTATCGTTACACGGGCGACATTAAATGAACACACGTCTAGCGCTACTTGCCAATAATCATGAAAAATATAGAACGTTAAAAAATCCATAAATAAAAAATCTATTTTTCAAACAAACTTATTAAATAAAAAAGAAACAAATTTTGTAACATCTTATAAAACTACAACTGACTGATTCATATTTTATTAGATATGCGTTGCCAAAACGTCGCATTACAAGTCTCTCCTTCTAACAGTATGTTTTATCTCTTTTAAATTCATTCAACCCATTCGTATGCTTTGTGACCTTTACAAATGAAATTTACGTTACACTTTTATACGTTAGGGTGTTCTAAAAATGTTTGTTTTGTAAAATTTAATAACTCGGTAAAAATTGATATTTAAAGAAGGTGAATGCTTAATACAATTTTAAAAAGTTATCCTCTATATGTGTGTTCATTTATTGTCGCGTTTGTAACGATCCGCTGTATATATTTTTATATACATAATACAACATTGTATAAATTATTTAATACGGACATTGTTCGACTGCTGCAACAGCTGCCAACCACCCACCGTGCACCGTTATCTTCATTGGTAGAGGACCACGTGGAACAAAATAACGTTGCTAGTATATTACTTAACTCTTACCCCGTTTCAATGTTTACAAAATGCACGTACTCCAGAAATGCACGAGGCTCTAAAGAATGCTATCGAATGCATACTTGCACACGCTTGTCTTAACCTTAAAATATGTCCCCTTAACTAGTAGAAGTAATTTATTTAAGCACGCGTTAATTAAAATGCAAATAGCTGATGGTTGAGCATTTCGAAGTATTTACTCGCAGCCAATAAAAGTCAATTAATTTCTCGTAAAAACGAACCAACACCACGTCACCGCGAGATCAATTCCAACGATTACGGGAGTCGGCCGTGCTAGGGCGCGATAAAAATTAAACTTCCCAGATAGTGTCCAATCCCGCCCACTTGGCACGTATCTAGCGAGCGAGCAATGTGGCGCTGTAACATTTTATCACCCACTAACCACTCGCCACTCGCCACTCGCCACTCGCCACTTGCGCAGAATGTCGTCCACACGCAAGGCTCCGCGAGCTGCGCAATCCATCAGCGTCGCCCAGCGTCCACTGCCCGGGCCGAATGGCCGATTGCGCGCCCCGTGAGAGGCGAGAGGTCCCTAGATCATTGATCTCGAACCGCATACGAACCCACTGCTGGCAGACTTTTACGAGATGTAACGCGTGCGTCATAAGACTGACAAAAAACATCTATTGCATTGAGTTTTTTCTGTCTTATCATGATTTCAATTTCATTCAAAATTTATAAAGGGATACGACGACGAGAGAGTTTAACACGTATGGAAGTCATAAAAACAACGGATAAAACAGTCACTTCACCAGCCGTCAAGATAAAAGCCAAGCGAGAAGGAATTTACGAGATCGATTAGTGCAACAATTCTGTTTTGCTGATAGCGCTGCCGATAATGGCGGCCGCCGGCGCCGCCTCGGCTACTTTCAAAGTGATATCTACACCCCCAGCGACAACGGTGTCTCCTTAACAAAAGATAGACTTTTCTATGGACTGCAGTTTGCTTTGAAATATATGCAGCTTTTAAATAAAATTAATCTTTATTTAATAAAAACTGCTCGATAGAGAAATCGAGAAGAGGAACATTTACGAACGGGATTGAAATCTAACGAATTTAATACCGATGCAGTGTAATCTCGCGGGGCACCGATTAGATTTTGGTGATACGTGAATGTACGTCATAAACGTGCCGCGAAGGCGTCCGCGGAATGTTAATGGCAAGGGGCCACACGTGATTTATGGGATTTCCCAGAGCGGAGAGCGGGCCGGACGACGCGCGACGCCCCGAAGTCTGTCAAGCCATTCAACGGAACATTACACCGGCGCAACGAAATGTACCTAAGCCTTCATGCATATACTAACAGTGTCGCCAATTTAAGAACTTTAACATCTTAACATACCGGGATATTTTTCTGGATTTTAGTAAATATTCTTTAAAGAAGCCTATCAAGTGTTAGGAACCTTTATTATTGTAATTTTCCACTTCTTTAAAGAAATTTTATTGTAATTTTAATTTAAAATAACAGTAATTTTATCATTGAAGTTTATTACATACCGTTTATCGTCTTACATTTCATACCCTCTGGTATTAATCAAACGTCTACCTACCAAGTAGAGAATACTATTCCCGTAACAGGAGAGACTGCCTAGTGTGGAATAAGGCAAAGGCTTGAAGTGTTAAAGAGTTTCTGCCGACGTTGTTGTGTAATAATATAACAGGATGTTATAAATACAAAGTATAAATACATAACATATAAAAATACCTGTGTGTTTATACAAATAAAGTAATAAACTCGCATTTGAGCGACAGTACGTATATGAAAATCGCACAGTCCGCATTTGTTTAGCCTGTACCGGCACATGATTAGAAATAATTGGTGTGGTGGCGAGGCAACTATATATGCCGAGGCAGCTGTTGCGAACGGTGGCAGCCGTCCTAATGCTACCGTGCTACTAATTGGACGTGTCCATCGTGCCGGCCGACCACCCACGAGGACGCACTAGATTCCGCGCCGTCAGACTTTTTTTACACCCTAATTAAGCTAATTTATCGAGACAATAAGAGAAATTATCGGTGCGGCGACCCGCAACCGCCCGCTTTATGGGGGCCACTAAATTGTCGGATTTAGGGCCGCTACCGCGCTACACCGGCCTGCGCTCGGCCGCTCGGGCGGCTTTTGATGCCCCAATAAATAAACAGCAGATCCCATCAGATAAGCGGCCGAGGTCGGCTCTAACGACGGAGCGGGCGCCGATGCCTCCGAATGCCGCGATAAGCCCCAACGACCTACCTACCTACGCACCTACTCACCATTAAAGGGACCTTTAACGGCGGCTTAATGCGACCGATATATCGCCCTCAATGCCGACATAAGTTTTGAGGTGAAACCGATTCCCAGAAGTGTTCTCGGCCAGTTGCGCTACTCACGCCTCACTACCGTCGCGATCGTTACTACTCCACTATGCTCAGTTATAACTTCTATATTTTCACTTTTTGTTTTTATTAGCTTCTTTGAATAATTGCTTTCACCCGGAATACTGAACGATGTGCCCGCGAACTAACACAATAAAATGTTATATCTACGCCAATTCTCACAGTAAACAATAAACACATCAGTTAATCAGGGTGTCTGTTTCGTAACAATAATATTTGGGGGAAAATGTAAATATTGGGGGCGTTAAATAATATCATCATCTTTCGCGGGGAAAAGGGAGAAAAAAGAGGAGGGTTGCTTTCTGAGAAGATTGCGGATGTGTGCGAAATTGTTCCTGTGACTCTGCTGATAATTATGTATCCTGGGTAGTGTAGGGGGTTTTAAAAATCCGACATAGCCCGTCCCCACTCGTAACTCGGCCAGTATGGGTCAGCTATTTCCACGAAAAGCTATATATATACATAAATATAAAAAGCTCAGTCAGCAGTATAGGAACGCCTAAGCGTAGGTTCGTTTAGGGTATAACTAGCTGTTGCCTGCGACTACGTCCGCGTGGAATAGGATGAAAGCGAAAAATTCAGACAGATATCTAGACATATAATAAAAATGTTACTTGTCTTTAACGGTACACGGAAGATATTTGAGAAAAACTATTATTAAAGATCCTCCTTTTTCAACACAGTAGAACCCAAAACAATGGTTGTTGAAATTTTTGTCCGTGTGTATGTGCGTTTGTGCGCGTAATCTCGGAAACGGCTTAACCGATTTGGGTGCAACTTTCACTTATGCATTGAAGTACTTCACTTAACATTTAGTGTTAGTTTTATTCAAATCGGTTCATAAATAAAAATTTTATATCAACTTAAAAAAAAGTAATCGCTACAGCTGAATTGGATGAAATTATAGTTAACTACAATTATATTATGGTCTGTAAAATGATGATGATTGTTAGATTATATAAATTTAAAAACCAGCCAAATGCGAGTCGCAATCGTGAACGAAGAGTTCCATACCATAATCTATAAAAAAGGCAATAAAATTTTGTCCGTTGTATGAGAGCCCCACTTAAAAAAAATATTCTGATTTACTTTATTTGTTGTTATAGCGTCAACAGTGAAAATTTCTACTGTCTAAATATCACAGTTTATGAGATACATGTATCAAACAAATGCTAGCAGTCTAGATAGCATCAGTTTGTTGGAACTCACTAATCTCAGCTATTACTGGTCCGATTAGAAAAATTTCTGCACTGTTTGATAGCCAATTTATTGAGGAAGGCTACTTTTTAAGCACGATATAAAATGTGGCACATATGGGCCGAACCACGGGCGAAAAGCTAGTGTACAATAAAATATCACTTTAAATACCACATTCATAGTTTTGCCTTCTGGGATACAATTACTATGGGTCACACAAATAATTCTCCAGTGTGAGAATCGAACCCACGCCGAAGGCAATGCGCAATGGTCAGTGATCTAGCGAGTGGTATTCGCGAATTAACATATAACAAATAACAACAGTATTAATGCCAGTATTAATGACTGTCTATTAAAACAAGATTGGGCTTTTATTACAAGTGATACAGATTTGGATAATATCGTTACAAAATTTTACTCCATAATTAATAAATTAAATGAAAAATTTGTTCGTAAAGTCCGATATAGTAGAAAATACTCATATCCAGTCTGGTACAGCAAAGCTTTAATTAATGTTATAAAAGAAAAAAGTAAACTACACACTTATTGGAAAAAACATAAAAACCCAATCGATTACGCAGACTTCTCAGAACTACGAAAAAGGCAAAAGAGACTACAGGAAGAATGTTATAAATCTTACTTAGAACGTACTCAAAGAAATATTAAATATAATACAAAGGCCTTCTGGAGTTATGTAAAATCTAAGCGTCAGAGTATTTCAAATTATCCCCAAGAAATGATCTACGGTAATACTTAATAGCATAAAAATTTTGTGCCGCCAAATTTTTCAAATATATAATAATGTTAATATTATTAAATTATATCATTTAAAAAAAAAATATTTTTTGGCATTAGCCAACATTAAAACTAAAAAAAGATCAAAATTGTTACATGTAGAAGACGATATGAGAGTAGCATTGTCATTTTTACGACCAAATATAAATGAAATTATCAAAAAACATTAAGCTCAAATTTCGCTTTAAAAATATTTTTATTATTAGCTTGTAATTAATCCTTTAATAAACGTTTAGTTATTATTGTAGTATATATTAGTTTATTTCGTATATTTAAAATTTTTGTCATAAACTATTTATGCAGTGTGTTGTAGTAAGTAAATAATTTGTATCTTTTTCTTTGTGTGCCGCCAAATTTTGAAATCGTTAAATATGTGCCACAACAAAAAAAAAGGTTGAGAATCACTGACCTACAGTAAAGGCAATGTTTAGATGAGAAGAATACGATGTATGTGCGTGAATATATTATTTTACATTTTTTATAATAAATGTCCCTACATTTTAATTACTACCCGCGCTTTTTACTTTGTATGCTTTTTTTAATTTGGTTTCATAATATATATAAATGTTCTTCTTTGTACGCTTATATACTTTTTTTATATACTTTAATTTTTTTATCTAATTGTGGAAACTTTTAATTGGCCTTCTGTATTTATTATCTAATACTTTACTCATGTGCTAGCTGTTAGTTTCCCTAAAATTGTAAAATAAAATAAAATAAATAAATAATATTTTTTTTATTGTTTAATGCATTTTTACCTCGATTATAATAATTATCTCAATGATTTTATACAGCCATCTAACGCCGAAATTCGATACTATACACACCTTGATGTCTTCCGTGTTAAAGATTGACATACATTTTGCGATTCATAGAAAAAAACTATAGAATGTATTCAGATTATTTATTTTACACGATGATTTATGCAGTTCAAAGACTGCTTTGTTACTGAACCACACTATACAGTTTACTAAAACAAGCAATATATTTAAGTAATAAACGGCTGGCCTAGATGTGTTCTACTCTTTGAGTTAGATGGCGCTATATTCACTATCAAACATTGTATTTACAAATATGCAATATAATTTTGTTACATCCCCGGTCGCCATAAGTATAAGGTACTGCACCTGAATCAATTGCGCAATGACCGGTGCTTCATCCAATAAAATCGACCACCGGCAAAGCGCGGCGTCTTTCGTCATCCTAACTTCGGACAGATTTGACACCCCTTAGTGTCTAAATTAAATAGTATTAAGAACTTTTGTAGAACCTTTATTAAATATTATTTTATATAAAATCGTTTTTTTTAAGATCCTCCGCTGCGCAACCCGTAATTGGCGCAGTCGGTAGGATAGTCGAGTCAGTGCGTGCACCAGCGCAGTTAGTTCAATCGATGAGCTATAAATACTAACAGAACTGTGATGAACTTTTTTCATTCCGCATGCGTACGTGCTGATAGGGTTTCAACGCCTAATCGACTTCCTGAAAGAACCGGGAGCCCCCAGCGAGGATCTACTTGGGAGTTGCAGAAGTCACATCGATCCAAACTTCGATCAAACATCGTGTCGCTGCAATAATCTTCTGTAAGTTGCACAAATAAAGATTGGTAGTTTTATACTTTCCAGTGCCTTACAAACTTCTACTCTATAATAGCGACGTTTCGACAATTTTTGCGTATACTTAAAAATAACGATGGGTTAATTTTAGCTAAACTTAACCAAATTATAACTTTGTAAAAGGGATTTTCGATACAACAAATGATGGTAATTAAGGCGCTGTATGCAGTGAATTTTTAACTATTTGGGTGGTGAAGTATGAGGAAGCAGAGGAGGGGCAACGCCGCTTAGCGGCGCGCAGCGCGACGCGCCGCTAGACCAAGTCATTCATTGCTAAGTGTGTGTGTAGTGGTGGGCCGTAGGATACTATCGATAGTATCATGGAAGGCTTTCGTAAATGTACATAGATGATCACTATAATATCTTTTATAGACCATGATTGTATTTTATTTTTATATTATAATAGGAATAATGATAAACAAACAAATATAAAGTATGAGAAAGCAATCAACAATTTAAAAAAATCTTCCTATTTATTATTATTTTAAAAAGGAATTGATTAAAAATACATCGTAAAGTCAAATAAATTAATAAAGGCAAATTACTTAAAATTATTATTTTTTGTTTTCATGGTTTATATTGTTATTTTAAAGAAATAGCTCATAAAATTTTTGCAGAAATTACGAATACAACTTTTTTTATTACATTTTTTTTTATATTAGGAATTTTAATTTATCCTTTAAATGTTCAAGATTTACTATGTTATATTACTTTCTCAACTAAAATGAAATTTAAAAAACTATCGATAAAATCTTTATTTGTATCGATAAACGACAGCAATTATAAGAAGAATCGAAATTTTGTCGCTTTCCACAGACCTCGCGTAGCCTGTTGGTCCGAACGTTATACACAACGGTAAACTATTGCTGTACGTGTAGTCTCAAGTTCAAACCCTCATCGAGTGGAGTTCTATTTTTTACATTATTTTAACTTTTAAAACAAATTATTTTGTTTTTATTTTATAAAATGGCTCAATATGAGAAATAAACAAATTAATAAGAAAAATTATAAAATAATTATTTTTCGTGTATAAGATAAATTTTCGTGTTAGGGTGAAAAATTAAATATTTTAATAAAAAAATAGATGCCGTTAAAAAAATTTTATACTAAAAGTTGGTTTATTTACTGATAGATTGTTCTCCAACTGTTTCAACTTTGAACAAATAAAATAATATTTTGATGTAATTATTTATGAAAATAAAAAATGAACAAAAATTAAATGGTAAGTAAGATATATTTCCAAATAAGAAAATCAACAATAAGTACAACAAA